ATCGATTTTTAAGTATAGGAGCCATTTATGTTTTATGAAGATTTTATCAAACTTGGGAGGGTGTGTAAGTGGCCAGCTAGGCTTCCAGGCAGGTTTGTCGGGTTTAATTAAAAACCACCAGGCCCACCACGCCACAGCGCTATCAATGTGGCCCATTTGATTTTCTTTTTTAACATGGAGGTACCTAATAATTTTTTTTTTCCCCGAGTAAAAGGACTTTTTTTCATTTAAATAATAGTTTAATCATATTTTTTTTTTATTTATAAACTTTTAAAATATTATTTTATTATTCAAATTTATATCTTATTTCTTATTTCAATATATTGCGATCTTATATTATCACTATTTTCTTTTTCAATCATCACTTACTAAAATCTCTTAAACTCTATTCTCATCGACCTCGCAAATCACTAATAAACAAATGATTAAAGTTTGTATAATCGTCATTCTCAAGTTAAATACCGATAAATCTCAATCACAAAAAACCAATTTTCTATCTCTAAAAAACTTATCGTCCTTCTATCTTAAAAAATCTCAACAACCTAAATCATGTTTGCTCTTTGTTTATCGTTAAAATATAAATTTAAATAATAAAATAATATTTTAAAAAATAAAATAATATTTTAAAAATTTGTAAGTAAAAAACATATTATTAAATCATTATTTGAGTTGAAAAAAAATCATTAACTCAATTTTTTTGTGAATAAATAATGGACTTTTTGCATACGGTTATTTGACAAAGATATTTTGTCTCTAATCCGTGGAAAGTTTCAACAGTACTTGATACGTTCAAATGTTGTTGGATTTATTAGGAAAGAAATAATACTTGTCTAAATGTCTTTAGCACGTTAATAGGATCTTATATACAGGACAAGGCAAAATTTACGGCACAGTAGAGTTTAAAAAATTATCGGGTTTTTGAATTAAGAAATAATTGATCAACCACTTATCATTCAAGAACTTTAAATTTGCTTTCTTTAAAAGGATAGAGCCAATCACTTAAAAGTATTAGAATAATTGTAGTTTCACAATCGGGTGTATGTTTAGGCAAAATAAATATAATTGGTAAAAACTATACGTGGGTAATCGAGTGATTCCATAAAAACTCTTGGTTGTATTACTTAAAAAGTTATGAGTTTGAATCCCTACTCGGTTGCTAATAGGGATAACGATTAGAGCTTTTATACGATGAATAGTTTTAAAATTATGAAAGATTAGTTAAAGTGTACGTAAACTAATCCGAACATCTTATTTATTATATATATATATAAATAATAATAGTCTTACAAAGAGGTATACAAAGAGTCAAATACAGCTCTTAAAAGAAGGAAAAGAGAGAGAGAGAAAGAGACAATCATGAATTTTAAGGGTTAGATTTAACTCTTTATATGCCTCTTTATAAGGTTAGTATTACTTTATCATTATGTGATTGCATAAATATAAAAGCACGAGGTAGCAACATAAAAAAGTGGGAGTTGTTTAATTTCTTAGTTAGTGGAGGGATATGAAAGTGGGTTCACATCTGCAATTGCCTAGAGAAATAATGCTGAAAGTGGGGCGCAATTGGAGAAATAATGCTGAAATCGGTTGATGAAAACGACAATAAAAAATAAGAATAATGCTACTTTACACCATTTTTTATTATATCATAATATGATATATGCTATATCTATATAAATTTTTAATTATTTTAAATATTTAATATTATAATAAAATTATTTTAATAAAATAATCATAATATAATAAAAATGATATAAATAATGGTGTAAATATACTATTACTCTAAAAATAAATAATAAGGCTCCCGTTAAAATCCAAATCCATTTGAACTTGCTGGAAGGTTAGTTGCCTAATCTATTCAATTAAAGTGCCAGACCAGAGCAACAAGCTAACCAAACTTCGCCCATTACCGCAATTTTCTATTATCTTCTTACTTTACAGTACTTGGCATTTATTCTCTTATTAAATTTTAATATTCAATTACATGCACAACCATAGCCCCCCCGTTGGGTAGTCAGAATTGTCCCCGAATGGGTCTACGGAAATCATTATAACCACTATACTGTTTTAATTTATGGAGTCAAAGTACATGTTTTTGTCAATATAATACTTTATTCTAGAAAAAAGTAGTTGGCTGATTGGCTCTTCACAAATCAAACAAATCTGGATAATTTTGATCGAATACACCTACTTATAAGAGCAATACAACGCTTAAACATCTTCCAAATCTGGATAATTTTGATCGAATACACCTACTTATAAGAGCAATACAACGCTTAAACATCTTCCAAGATAGTGACATAATTTAAATTCTTTATTATAAAGATTAAATTTATAATTAATAGATTTTTTATTTTTAAGATATAAATTAAAAAGTAAGTTTAATTATAGGGAGTCAAAGTTTATTTTCTATCTTAACTTTAATTAATAAACTATAAATTCTTATGTATTTTATTTATTAATTTTCTCTCCCATCAAGTTTCTTTCTTAAAAATATAGAGTATCTTTATTAAATTTAAATAATACATTAGATTTAAATAAAAATTATATTTTTTATATTTAAAAATTAATAGAGATATTTTTTATTTATATGAAAGGTACCCTTCAAAATAAAGAGCATCATTGGAAATGACAAAAGAAATTTTATAAAGATTTATATACAAAGTGATATGATAAAAAATGAATGAAAGAGTAAATTTAATGAGTTTGACTTTTTGTTTGACTTTTTTACTCATGTTTTATCATTCCACTTTGTATGAAAATCTTTATAAGATTTTTTTATAAATATAATATTATTGTATTTATAATGCTTCCATGAATCCAAATCTCTAAATACTAGGTAATAAAAGTGAGTTTTTATATTAAAAATTTCACATTTTAAGCAAATGGGTTGAATTAAAATATATTAAGGTGTTTGGACTTTGGACCACTTATGTACATTTTTTATGTGTATTTAACTAATTCGGTGAGATTTTAAAACTATAGATTAATAAGAGTTCTGATTATCTTCTTCAGTATCCAAGAAGACGCTTAACTCAAAACTTGCTAATAATAGAATTGTTTGGAATAAAAAAAGAAAAAGAAAAAATGAAGGTATAAAATGACATAATATCAGGCTTTTTATTAGTAAGTAGTTGCAGATGAGAAACAGAGAACTGCGGTTAAGGGCGTGGTGTTGGTGACAGAGGGGAGGGAGGGTGAGAGTCGGTGCAATCATCTGATATTTTAAGACCATTTTGATACGTGGACTCTCCTCCTCAAATCCAACTGCTCTGTCTCTGTAACGGTGTAACCTACATGTAAGAAAAGTCAATTTCAGTGGGTCCAATCTAATTACCAAATCTCATCATCTATCCTCCGNCTGGGAAGGTTAGTTGCCTAATCTATTCAATTAAAGTGCCAGACCAGAGCAACAAGCTAACCAAACTTCGCCCATTACCGCAATTTTCTATTATCTTCTTACTTTACAGTACTTGGCATTTATTCTCTTATTAAATTTTAATATTCAATTACATGCACAACCATAGCCCCCCCGTTGGGTAGTCAGAATTGTCCCCGAATGGGTCTACGGAAATCATTATAACCACTATACTGTTTTAATTTATGGAGTCAAAGTACATGTTTTTGTCAATATAATACTTTATTCTAGAAAAAAGTAGTTGGCTGATTGGCTCTTCACAAATCAAACAAATCTGGATAATTTTGATCGAATACACCTACTTATAAGAGCAATACAACGCTTAAACATCTTCCAAATCTGGATAATTTTGATCGAATACACCTACTTATAAGAGCAATACAACGCTTAAACATCTTCCAAGATAGTGACATAATTTAAATTCTTTATTATAAAGATTAAATTTATAATTAATAGATTTTTTATTTTTAAGATATAAATTAAAAAGTAAGTTTAATTATAGGGAGTCAAAGTTTATTTTCTATCTTAACTTTAATTAATAAACTATAAATTCTTATGTATTTTATTTATTAATTTTCTCTCCCATCAAGTTTCTTTCTTAAAAATATAGAGTATCTTTATTAAATTTAAATAATACATTAGATTTAAATAAAAATTATATTTTTTATATTTAAAAATTAATAGAGATATTTTTTATTTATATGAAAGGTACCCTTCAAAATAAAGAGCATCATTGGAAATGACAAAAGAAATTTTATAAAGATTTATATACAAAGTGATATGATAAAAAATGAATGAAAGAGTAAATTTAATGAGTTTGACTTTTTGTTTGACTTTTTTACTCATGTTTTATCATTCCACTTTGTATGAAAATCTTTATAAGATTTTTTTATAAATATAATATTATTGTATTTATAATGCTTCCATGAATCCAAATCTCTAAATACTAGGTAATAAAAGTGAGTTTTTATATTAAAAATTTCACATTTTAAGCAAATGGGTTGAATTAAAATATATTAAGGTGTTTGGACTTTGGACCACTTATGTACATTTTTTATGTGTATTTAACTAATTCGGTGAGATTTTAAAACTATAGATTAATAAGAGTTCTGATTATCTTCTTCAGTATCCAAGAAGACGCTTAACTCAAAACTTGCTAATAATAGAATTGTTTGGAATAAAAAAAGAAAAAGAAAAAATGAAGGTATAAAATGACATAATATCAGGCTTTTTATGAGTAAGTAGTTGTAGATGAGAAACAGAGAACTGCGGTTAAGGGCGTGGTGTTGGTGACAGAGGGGAGGGAGGGTGAGAGTCGGTGCAATCATCTGATATTTTTAGACCATTTTGATACGTGGACTCTCCTCCTGAAATCCAACTGCTCTGTCTCTACAACGGTGTAACCTACATGTAAGAAAAGTCAATTTCAGTGGGTCCAATCTAATTACCAAATCTCATCATCTATCCTCCGTTTCAATCACATGTCCATGCAACACATACATCTGAGTAATCACACATAAATAATTCTCAAGTACAACAGGAACCCCTAAAAAAAAAAAAAAAAAAAAAAAAATATTATTAAAGATAAATATTACGTTGCGTTGTAGCTCTATCCGCAGAGAGTCTCCAAATCCGACAGCTATCCCTGTGCATGCTCTCACCTTTACCTCTCTGTAGTTCTTTGTACCTCATTTTCTTCTTCGTTTGAATTTGTAGATATCCATCTCCGAAATTTTACCACATTTTCGCTTCTGGGCATTCTCAAATCTCAATCCACATTGATCTCTCATATTTGGGCTTCATTATTTCCAGTTAATTTACGAAATCCAGAATTTTTTTTTCCAATCTAACATTTCATTAAAGAAATTCCTCATTTGAATTGAACCTTAACTTTGAGTTTTTGATATTTGAGCTTTTATTTTGACCAAATCTGGTTAAAACCCATTTTCATTCTTCACAATCTAACACGTTTTAACCAATGCACGGCCTCTAATTTTTTCACATTCATAAGACAGAAAAAAAGGAGAGAAAATTCCAAAGGAAAAAGGAAAATGAAGACCCCTAAAGATTCTGAGAAACCAATGTGGGATCAGATTCAGATGAGAAGCCCGTCGGGAAACCCACTTACAGGAACCGGGTCGAGCAGCCGGGCCGGGCCCAAACTCATGGTCTGGCTTATCCTCTTCGTTTCAGTCACCTATGTTGTCTACACTCTGAAGCTCGTCTCCACCTCACGCGGTTGCGTCGAAGAACCTTTCTCCATCACTCACCGTGTGTCGGCATCGGCAACGGCAACAATGGCCAATTTCACATCCATGCCGTTGATTCTCAATCAAACGGCGGGCCAAAACCTCGTCCACCGACGCGAACCTCAAGACAGACGAACACAAGTACCGACTGATATCCACCACATCGTGTTTGGCATCGCGGCATCAGCTAAACTTTGGAACAAAAGAAAAGAGTACATCAAGATATGGTACAAACCAAAACAAATGCGAGGCGTTGTGTGGCTTGACGATGCCGTCAAAGCAAACAAGAGCGAAAACTTGCCTCCCACAAAGATCTCAAGCGATACTTCACAGTTCCCTTACAAGAACAAGCAGGGTCACCGTTCGGCTATACGGATCTCACGCATCGTGTCGGAAACACTCCGACTTGGGCTAACAAACGTGAGGTGGTTTGTGATGGGAGACGACGACACGGTTTTCATAACGGAGAATTTGATTAGGGTTTTGAGAAAATATGACCATAACCAGTTTTATTATATTGGGAGTTTATCGGAATCCCATTTGCAGAATATTTTTTTTTCTTATGGAATGGCTTACGGTGGTGGTGGGTTTGCTATAAGTTATCCATTGGCTAAAGCGCTTGTTAAGATGCAAGACAGATGTATTCAAAGATATCCGGGACTCTACGGTTCCGATGATCGAATGCAAGCTTGTATGGCGGAACTCGGTGTTCCACTTACTAAAGAACTCGGTTTTCACCAGGTTTGCAACTCACTCACTCACTCAATCCCTACTGTTCTTCATTTGCTTTTCTTAATTTATTTATTTTTTGGTTTTGAAATTTAATTTCTGTTTCACATTTCTTAGTTTTGGGTTTTGTAATCTGGGTTGAGTTTGTTCTGGTTTAATGAGTCCTTTTGCTCGATGTGGTTGTAAACTCGATGATCGTTTGTCCTGTAATAGAGAGTAGAGGTTTATGATAATATCGCGATAATTTGACTGATACGCGTTTTTTCTGGGTTTTCCATTAATTTTAGAATTAAAAGTTAATCAGTGAGTTAATATTGGGTGCTTGTTTAGTTAATGAAGTCATTTGGAAAGTTTATGTCATTGTAATTGTAATTTACAATTTGCGTGTTTGATATTTCCCGAGATGACTTTTCTACATCCATAGGAATTCCAGCGGAGATGTTGATTGGCTTTGGTTGTAGTATCTAAAAATGGACATGTTTTATACACCATAAAATTATTCTATCATCTTTGAGGATCTAAACAAGAGGCGTCAGATTAGCTCAATGGTGTCCGTAGCTAGGCTCAAATTATGTCGGGTTAGGGTCCACGTACCGTGGTTGGGACCCATTTTCGTAACTATCAACAGACGTTGCATCAACGGGCATCTTCTGTGCGTGCACATCACGCACTGTCATGTGTGAGTTTGACTTGAAACAGTTGGATCATTTAATGCATTCTATTAGCGTTTACTGAAGAGTCTGAGATTGCTACTTGTAATTTAAACGAGCCTTTTTTTGCAAAATCCTACTTGGTATTTTCATGATTTACATTATGAATAAGATAAGTTGTTAATTTTACTAAATGGTCCATTGAGGTGCATATTGATGGGCACTTTGTCTCCCATCTAGTCAATTTTTTTTGATTTATTTTAGTTTGATTTTGGTCGGTATATATATATATATATATATATATATAGTCATGAAGATTGTTACTGATGCTAACAGTTGCTTCTTGATGGATTGCAATCAGTATGATGTGTATGGAAACTTGTTTGGACTCCTTGCTGCGCACCCGGTTGCACCTTTGGTGTCGCTGCATCACCTGGACGTAGTTGAGCCCATCTTCCCCAATGTGACTCGTGTTCAAGCCCTTCAGCGGCTTATGGTGCCTAAGAAGCTAGATTCTGCGTCGCTCATGCAACAATCTATCTGCTATGACAAAGAAAAGACCTGGACAATTTCAGTTTCATGGGGCTTTGCAGTTCAAATTTTCCGTGGAATATTTTCCCCTCGCGAGATAGAAATGCCTTCAAGAACATTTTTGAATTGGTATAGAAGAGCAGATTACACGGCATACGCCTTCAACACTCGTCCAGTTACCCGAAACCAGTGTCAAAAACCTTTTGTATTTTACTTGTCGGACGCCAAATTCAATTCAACAATGAATCACACAGTGACCGAGTATCACCGGCATAAAATCCCTCACCCTTTTTGCAGATGGAAGATGGCTAATCCTGCAAAACTTGACGTAGTGGTGGTTCATAAAAAACCAGATCCACATCTGTGGGAAAGAGTAAGTTGTTGAGTACATTATTATTCAATTACTGGCTTGCTTGATACAAAAAAATGGCTAATACGTATTTGTTTTTTTGTGTGTTTTGAACAGTCTCCAAGAAGAAATTGTTGCAGGGTGATGAAGTCAAAGAAGAGTGGAAAGATGGAGATAGATGTGGGTGTATGTAGAGAGAGTGAGGTTAGCGAAGTATAATTACTGAGGGCATTAATTTTTTTAAATTTTTATTCATCCCCACTTCCAATTTTGTAAGTGTAATCCAAAGTAGATCCATGAACAATCATCACCACAAACCCAGAACCAGAAAAGAAATTATGTATCAAACTTGTACCTTATCTGTTTCGTACATTTTAGATCAGTATGGTTTGTTTATGTATTTAATAATTTATTTTTTAATATTCCCTGGGAACAGTAGATGAAGTCACCTAATCTTTGTTCTGTCCAGTTGTTTCTTAAAATGTATGTCGTTGATTCCACAGGGACCTTTTCAAGTAGGTGTCATCTGTTGTTGGAGTTTTTTAATTTTAAATGATTCCGACCATTAAAAAGTGTCACCATTACCAACCATAGCCCCATTTTAGTGTTATATTTTAAATTTTTAATGGTCCAAAACTACACCAGATTTACACTTAGTGGGTAGTCATCGTTTTTTCACGCTAACACGTGTTAGAGATAATATTACTTAATAGTTTGACTAGGACCTGAGCTTGACCTATTAAATATACAATAATTAGGATATTTCACTTTATTCTTTAATTAAATCTTTAACGAATTAATAATCATCTTTTCTGCTAATCTCCACCTGTCTTAAACAATCAATTAGATTAACACAAGTGTCGGTGACGAGAAGGACAGTATGTGGAGCACTGCTAAAGGGCTTTATTTGGTGACTTTTCAAATTTCACTTTCCAATAGTTTCACGACGTGATTGCAAGAAAAAACCCTTTTTTTTTTTTTTTTCACACAGCCCTTTTGTGATTAGAGGCGTAAAATTTGCAAGTAGGTGAGATGAGCGGGGTCCGTTTTATGTCTGGCTTATCAAGGTACAGAAATGGGTCCCAATTCTTTATCAATGGTCCAAATGCCTTCACTCATCACACACATCTGTAATAATTGCACCAGACAATAAACACCATTAATGGCTCTTGTTAGAGTATTTGTTTTTTTAGCTCAATCTCTACAATACTCTTCGTTCTTAAAATTTACACGTTTGTGTCATTGTGTGGTTGAATATTTTTCTCACCCCTAAGTTAATTGTTTTATTAAACACCTTAAAAAACAGTGTAAAAATTAATAAACATACCCTCATTCATCTACATTTACTAGATTTTGACTACCACCATCGGTAAGTGATTAGAATTTTATATAATAGCGCACTGTCACCTGGATCTGGTCGATAATACATCGATCTATCATTTACTAACTAGATTCACAATGAATCTGTCTTTTTCTAGTCAGATCCATAATAGATCTGTCTGAAAAAATCTAATTGATCGTATGTCAATATAGCGACTCCAGCCACAATTCAGCGATGGTGGTCGATATTTAATGGGTGAGTGGAAGTGTTTTTATAATTTTTAATATTTATATTATAAAAGTGTTTAGTAAATTATCAAACATAGGAAAATATTTTTGTTAATTTTTAAATTCTACCTCATTATTTTCACCCAACTCTAAAAATATCAAAACTATAAAACAATATTTTATAATTAACGAGTAATACTACCGAAATTCTGCATACCATAGCGATTTTTCATTTGGACTAACGTAGAGTGCGACATGGTCGGATCGAGGACTCCCCACTTCGCGCTCCAAATCAGTCAGGATGGGGAGTTAAGGGTGCAAAATCGATGGCTTCAGTATTTCCCTTGATTGATTGATATGAAATGAAATGAATAGAACAATGGGTCCTTATAGTACGGCCTCGACTACCACTCATGGATCTAATTTTTTTTTTTTTTTTTTTAACTTGAAAAAACAAAAAAATTGTCGGTGCCCTTATTACATCCCTGCAACCTATTGTATCCAATAAAATTTTAAGAAATAAATCAAAATAATTTTTCATAATATAAATTGAAAAAATATACCACCAGTGGAGCCCAATTAGGATTAAAGTATGATCCAGAATGATGAAAGGCTTGTAGACCAAGACTGAGTTCCAAGCCCAAAGTAATTGTTCTTGGGTTCCATTTTGAAGATAGTGGTCAAAGTCCGTAAGCACTTACTTCTGTAGGCCTGCAAGAGGGCGAATTTTGTTGCAGGATTGGGCCAAGAGTTTTGCAGTAGTAAAATATTGAGAGTGATCTGATCTCCATTTCCTCGTGTGCCATTTTATCGGATTTATTTATTGGTTAAAAAAAAAAAAAAATTACAAAATGAATATATGATATTACAGGGGACCATGTTACCCCTGGTTAATATATAATTGTCACATACTTTTTCAATATATAAAAAATATTAATGGTGAAGATTGATGTGAGGCGAAAAATTCATAGGTGGTAGTTATTGGTGGTATATATCTATATACAAGTGATTTGATACATACTCCTATGTTATTCTGGATTTCTTTTTGGTTTATAATCTAAATTTTTATCATATCCTTTTCAAAAAGAAAAATAATTCAAAAAATCTTATATAACTTTTCGAAAGGAATAAATTTTTTTAATGATTTACAATTGTTTTATGTAGAGGTGGGTAAATATTTAGGGTAGAACCGAAACCGACGGGTACTTGGGGTGTCGGTCTGGTTCCAAATTTGGTAGAACTGATACTGTGCGGTTCTAGTTTCTATTCCACCACTTCAAGAATCGGAATCAGAATTGGGAACTGGAACTAGAATTGAGGTCTAGGTACTCGATTTGTATTTATAATTTTTGTAAAAGTTGAGTGTCATTTTTGTAAACAATTGGGGTGTATTAGTAATTTTACTTGAACAGTGTTGGCTACTAGGTCATGTTCCGGTTCTAAGAATTTAGGAATTGGAACCAACGGGTTCTGGTTCCTAAATCCTAGAAACCGGTTGGTTCCGGTTCCTAGGGTTTGGGCCGGCTACCCAGACCCGTCCACCCCTAGGACTCTATTTTACATTTTCCCAGGCTCTATTATCCTAAGAATTCTACTTCCATAAGCTCTCCTGCACATAGTATTACAGTTTTGAACCAGGCCAAAAGCAAAACGACAAGAGACAGGTTGTTAATGAGTATATATCAATTAAATAGAAAGTGCAATTAAGAATTGAATTCTATAATAGCAAAATTTAATTAGGTAGGAACATGTCTGTTATTTACAGTGAGTTAGACAACATTGTTGAGCATATAAAAATGTTAAATCACTTCGAGCAAAATTAAATACAAAACACATTTAATTGATTGCTATGGATCTGGTCATCGATTGAGCAAACACAACTAAAGATGATGCCCATATTGCCATAGCTTTTTACCTGCTAATTTAACTAAAAAATAGTCTACAGTTTACGTACTTAGATTTTGTGTTTGCCTTGTCTCCTTCAAACTCTTTAATACTATCTATCTGCTGTATCGGCGGCCATTAATCGCCATTATAGCCAACCACAACCGTCAAATACCAACAGTGTTCTAATCTGAAGTACGTATCAGTGGTCCACCGTTCTAAATTGCAACCAATTGCTGCCCTAGAACACCACCTTCCAACTAATTAACCATAATGATGCAGATATATGCAGCACTAACTACACGAGAAAACTCAACAGCCTGCGTCCCAAAGACCTAATTAATATGGAGAGTAGTTGTGTTATGTCTTTTCAAACCAAAAGATCCCTTCCTAAATATCGATTTACAGTACAAATCAAGTGGCAAATATGTATTGTAATTAAGGCGTGTTAAGATAGAAAATGTAGAAGGGAGTTGAACGGTGGGAATATCAAGTTGGGTAAAAAGTTGCAGGAGGTGTCATATCAATATAGACTGGTAGCTTCAGCCTCAAAACAGAATAGTAGTAAAAGCTTCTTGAAAGGTTAAAAACTGGGTTCTTTCCTGTTCAGGCGTCCGATGGGGATATATATATATACACAATATTATATAGTTTTGTATTGCAAATTGTGATAGGTTCAAACCATTGATACTCTTCTATACTGCCTCAAGCAGCTGTTGCCATCGACTGTGCATCTTTACATGCAATCTTTTTGACCAGTTTCTACTGTGTCTCGCTTACAGAGAATCTCACCTCGACTCTTGTTAGCAAGAGTTATAACTCATTGAATGCAAGATTTTAATTTACCTTCTGAGTAGGTGTATGTATATAATATTGTTTGCATTTTTCTATAATGCGGATATCCCTAAAAACATTAAACAAAATCTCATAGTTTTTTTTTAATGTAAAAATACGTTAAGTAATGCCAATTAAACACGGAAATCTTCGAATATCCAATTTTTCTGTATATATATTTTGACTAACACTCAAAACCTAAAGTAGTTCAAACTTCATAATCAAAGATCTCCTAAATTGACCGAAATCAATAATTATGGCTGTATATGCAGTTGACGAGACCACATCAAGATGTAATTCTTCAGCCACCCAACAAAACATATTAGCACTAGAGAAAGAAAGGATGTTCGGGTGATAAAAAGTTCGGTTTTTCTAGAACATACCCTTTGCAGCAGTCGGACATCCCCAAAATCTATGTTTAACCAATTCCATGCCATACCTAAATAAAGAAAAAACAAGATGGTTCCTTTTTGCTCTTTCTGGTTTGCGGTGAAGTTATGGAACAGTAAAGAAGAAGAAAAAAAATACAACAGTTATTTAATGAAACGGTAATTAAAACGGTATGTATTTTTGTTTTCCCTTTACAATCATAAGAAGCTTAATGCTTTTGAGGATATGTATATGTTATGTATGTCACCTTCAGAGAAATAAACAAACATGATAAACAGTTCACAGTTTGTATAACTAATGAATGAAAAATTATACAGTAAAACCTCTTTATATTCATAATAATGGGATCAACTAATTTTATTACTATGAAAATGTTATAACTTAATCGAGGTATAGTTACAAAAACTATTGTTTTATTTTCTTATTTTATAAGCCATATTTTAGTAATACAATATTAGGATTTCAACTCAACGCTTCAATTGCCTACTTTGAAATGGATAGAAGATCGTGTCTTGGAACCAATAAAGATAAGTGTCATTGATAAAATTGTAAATACAGTTAAATGCATGGTCAATTGATGTGAAGCCACAGACAATTGTCAATGGTTTTAAACATTGTAAAATTAAGACCCCGAACCCGGTGTCAATGAATTGGAAGTTACAAATTAAGTAGATTAGGAGAATAAAAAAGTTATTGCAGAATTGAGTAATCAAATTTGACAACTTTACTGCACTAATCGAATGAATATTACTTTCTTCCTCGATCATCCAAATGAGCAACAAATCCTGTATATTTTAACTGAAGAGGAAATTATTGCTGCAATTAGACAAGAAGAGAAAGGAAATAATCCAACTAAAAATATTTTGGCTTTAACAAAAAGGTATCCATGCTAGCGAATTATTACATATAATTATTAATATATAGAGACAACTTTCTTTAAAAGCGAGAATTAGAAAAATTATAACTTATTACAATGTGAAGTTTATTCTTTTTTATAACTATCCGAAATTGGGATTATAATTTTTTGTAACTATGTAGAGTTTATTCCTATATAAAGTATCATTATAGAGAGGTTTCACGGTATCACAAGGACGTTAATATTGCTATCATTATGGTTCCCCATGCAAGCTTCCAACGGTAATCAATGAATGAATCCCTTTTCCTATATAATTCACTTTCCCTAGCTGGAATCGAAACCAACATTTGTATCATTTAATGCTTCTCATTTTAGGTTAATCTCCCATGCGTTTCATGGATATCTTCACCTACTTGATTTCGTCATAAAGATCCATCATCGAGCAAACTTATCAAACTCAAGTGGGTTACAATAATTTGCTTGGTAGCATCAATGGCATGATTGCTCATCCATCGAGCCATCTTCTTTACTGATATTTATTGTTTCTAAACACATGAAAACTTGCTATATTTTTCTCTTCATAGAGTGTTCCTTGACGATTTCACGGTGTTCTTGTTTGTATCGTTGTAGAAGTAGAACAATGACGACGACGCAATTTGACATTGTTTCTTTGTCTTTATTTCCTCAAATGTATAGGTATAGCCAATGTTTTAAAGCTATATGAGGTTCAATTAAACGTGGTTGAAAGTGTATTGGGTATGCACATCATGAACTAACTTTGCTAAAGTTGAAATCTTGAGCATGCAAAGAGATGGTCCAGAAAAGATTTAAAATTAAAATTAAATTTAAAAAATAATTTATAATAAAAATAATGTTTATAGAAATTAAAATTAAACGTATAATGACTTCCACACTATTTAAAAAAGAAAGGCAGTTAATAAAGGTAGCTTTTCATCAACAAAAAGCAGTAGCATAAACCATGCCAAAGTTGAAAAATCATAAAGCAAAGCAACTCTCGGGGGCAATGAAATATCATCTTCATCAACATGAAATAGGGACCACAACAATGAAATGATCACGATATTCTGTGATTTTTGTGGGGGAATTGTCTTAATCTTGTAAACTAAGGACCCAACCAATTTGTGCTACTAAATTTAATTTGTCTTCATAGATAAAATAAACCACCCAGATGAGCCCAAGAAAAGTGTTTGGAACTTATTCATTCAATCCAAATAATATCATCCACAAACGATTCAATCACTTAGAGCTTGGGCAGCAAGAGCAGAAAGAAAGAAAGAGAGAGAAAAGATGGATGGAAAGTTCAGGCCTATCTATAGATAGACAGATAGATAGACAGAGCGATATAATAGGTTAGATCTTTGAAAAATAGATTCCACCCAAAAGAAGAAAGAAATATCCATCTATATAATGTTGCATCAATCAATTTCCATTGCCATTGAAATTTAACCTAACAGTAAATAGACATGTTTGTACCAATTAAAAATATATAGAAGATGAAAAACTACCAGAGCTAGCCATGAAACTATCTTCCACAGCATATATATATTCAACCCAACTGTAGCTTTTATATATATATTATCGTATGAAGTATTATCGATCTATACCTAAACTACTGACTTAACTGTGCCACCATAATTTTTCATAAGAATTAAGAATTCCTCAATGATCGCTTCATAAATATGAAGACGAACTTTGCTTCTAACCAGCCAAGTCATGAAGCAACTGAGCTCCCATCAGATTCCTATAAGGCAAATTCTGTCCTTCACCATCTAAAAGTGAATATTGAACTGGTTGGCAATCTTCAATGTGGTCTCTGGCGTAAAAAAGTGAGCTTTGTGATGCAGGTGAGAATGCTAAGCTCACTCCACTCCCTCCATGCTGTTGTAACCCTAATGTCAAGGACACGCCACCACCATTGAAATTCTGATTAGCATTATTATGATCATTTGCATAAGAAACCCCACCTACCGCATGTTGATTATATGTTGAAAAATCCAATTCCATAGCACCGAATGCCCCAAAGTTTTGTTGCTGATGCTGCAAGTGTTGGTTTTGCTGAAGGGTTTTAGGGGTTTTAGGATCATTCTTATCAGGGTTATTGATGATGGAAGATAGACATTCTGAGTCAATTCGGACAAGTTGGTCCGGTGTTGGTTTCTGATCAGTTTTAGGATTCTGATTAGGCCGGCCACCATTGTCATCAAAATCAGTAACCCCATCAGGAGAGGCCATGTTGTTGTCTCCTTCCTTTGTTTCTTCCAAGTACATTTCTTCCACCATAGGCTTCCACAGCCTCACTCTTGCGTTGATGAACCAATTGGACACCTATTGAAACATATGGAAGAAACAAAAAAAGTATAAGAAATATAATATGTTGACACGGTATGATAATTGAATACTATTATATTAAAACTATGGATCCCAATAAAATACGGGCCATTGATAATATAAATTAATTCATGTAGGATTAAAATAAGCCATAGAGAGATGTGGACGTGCCTGGCTTCTTGATAGACCAGTTTGGCGGGCTAAGATATGTTTATCAACATCACTTGGGTATCTGCAAAGGAATTTTCATGGAAACATTGTTAATATTGAGAGTTTGGTATTACAAATATTTCTTTTTACAAGTTGAGTGTGTGTGTGAGAGAGATGGGTCCGATGTAACAGAACTAAATACACAGAAAAATAACAGGGAAAGGGTCAAGTGATATTTCGAATGATTGAAAAGAAGTAATATGACAAATTTGAAACATGGAATCTGCATAGTGGTATAAAGAAACGAACAAAAGATTACGTTGTTTTTACAAGAAAAATGTTTGAGACTATGAAAACTTACATGTACCAAAACAATGAAAACTGATATTTACTTTTCATTTCTTTGGAGAAAGCATTGATTCTTTCACTAAGTCTACTTTGTAGTTTACTCATATAGAGACTATACTTGAATATTGGAAAAGAAAGAGGAGAGCAAAAGAAGGGGAAATTTACGGGTGGAGAAAATGCTCGAACAACCAAGCCCGAAGAACTGATACGGATCTTTCTGGTAGGCCTCTTTGGGGTCTCCATGGATGACTCTCTATCATACTCATCTGTTGAAAAGCCTTTTGTTGCCTCAAAGTTTGATCAAGGATCCTTAATCTTGGTGTTTCACCTCTACTTGTGCCTGGTGCAACTGGATCTTTCTCTCCCATGGCCTTCTTTGTAGCTTGAATTTGACCCACAATCCCATCTCTTAAACATCGAAAATGCTTTGACATGGCCTTAGAAGCCAAAGCTGAATAGACTGTTGCAGCTCTATTACCAGCCACTGCTTCGAAGGAAGATACCACAGCTTTCATTTGATCACAGTAGTGCTTGTATCTTCTGTCAACCTAACCACACATGACAAATTATAATTTTTTGCCACAATATAAGATGAAAAATCAGATGCCATGAAAAGAAAAGGAATAGAAGGGTTAGAAAAGAAGTAAAAAGCAAGAAGGATCACAATCTGGGCATTTATGGGGAGGTCCCAAGTCGCTAAATTTGTTCAAGAAACATGTTCGGAGAACCCACCCAATCAAGAAGAAAATTTCACTGTTCTCATTAAATCGGAATAAAAAAAGAAAAAAAGCTCTTTCTTTTTATTTTTCTCTTCTGATGGGAAAGATATTGGAAAAAGAAAGCACCTTTATGGAATAACAATGAAATCGAAACATATTATATATAAATATATACCTCCTCCAGCATTGAAAGCAGCTTTGTCTTTCTTTTCTGCAATTCCATGAATTCCAGGGAGCAAAGAGATTGCCTTCTCGAAGAACTACTTGCATTTTCATCATCCCATTGTTTGGTCTTATGGGTCTTTTGTTTTGGACCATCAGTTTGCTTAGTCCCAAGGCTACAGAACTCATTCAAAAGGTCCTGAACGGGAGCTAAGTACTTTGAATTCCTCAGCTGGAACTGCCCTTGATGATGAATATCTGCAGCTTTACCCAAAAACCCATCTTGCATCATTTGTTGTTGGTTTTGAATGCTGGCAGACTTTCCAAAGAACCCATCTCTAGAGCTTGACCCCATAAACCTCAATTCATCTTGCTGGTCATGGTTGTTATGATTCGCTGGCCTCAGTTCAAAAGACTGTAAACCGATACTTGAAGGATTACTTGAAGAGAGGGAGAGTGAAAGACCTTGACTTGGTCTTTCATTTGGTTCACAAGGAAAAACACACCTCAAAGAAGAATCATCAACAAGTAACCTATTCTCTTGCCAAGTACCATGCTCATGAGTTCCAACTATAAGATTCTCATTACTTGTTTCTGATATTCCAGTAGTGAACACTGGTTTGTTGAACTCATGATGATGACGATAAAAGTCAGTTGTTGACTCATTGATCATCTTTGAAGAAGAAGGACCAGCGTTGTTTCCATGTTTGCTAAAGAAACCTTTCCACATAGCAGAGTTACTGTCACTGTGTTGCTGCTGTAGATTCTTTGAAAACCCTATCATATCCATGCCCGTGGTCAAGTTGAAGATCTCTGGATTCGATTCAAAGTCTTGGATCTGGTTCACCAGATGGGTTTGATGAATTGTTGGGTTACTCGATGAAACATCTGAGTAACAAAAGCCAGCTGCTGATGAAATGATGTTCCTTGATTTATCTTCACAGATTTCTCTAGCCATGTATACCCAATTATCTCTCCTTCTTGCTGTTTATACGTGGCTATAGCTTGCCTCTATCTTCAAATATTCCAAAAGTTGATGCTGATTCTGCAACCAGAGTTCCATCAAGATTCACTCCCAAAAACCCACCATTAAACAAAAGTTGAAATCACAAAACAAGATCGTAAACAAAATCCTTTCTTTCAATCAAAGAGAGAAGAAAAAAAAAAAAAAAAACCTTTTTCCTTGTTGGCTCGTTAAAATGCAAACATACAACAAGACATAAAAGAAGAAGAAAAGGCTTACCAGATATAGAACAAGAATGAAGTATGTTGTTAAGGATTGAACAGAAGTAGAAATTAATTTGCTTAGTGGTGTTGANAAAAAAAAAAAAAAAACCTTTTTCCTTGTTGGCTCGTTAAAATGCAAACATACAACAAGACATAAAAGAAGAAGAAAAGGCTTACCAGATATAGAACAAGAATGAAGTATGTTGTTAAGGATTGAACAGAAGTAGAAGTTAATTTGCTTAGTGGTGTTGAAGAATAAGAAGAAGAAGAAGAAGAAGAATTTAGAGGTGATCTCTTGTTTCTCACCAGACCTCTTCTGTCAATAATAAGTCAACAACATGCTGAGCCATGAGAGAAACCTAGTAAGAATAAAGCTGAGATATATAATATATCTTGAGAAAAAGAGAAGATCAGAGTATGCAGATATAAACTATTATGACTTCATAGCTAGCCGTGATCATCATTTGATAAAAACCTCGGTTTTCTTTTCTTTTTCTCTCTCTTAAAGCCTAAAAACTGAAGTGGGTCAATGCGTTCAGATATTAATAAAACCAAAATAGACTTCCAATTAAGAAGATAAAAGGTCACCCCCCCCTCAATTATTTCGTACCCAACAATATAAAAATGACCACCACAATTAACTAATTAATAATATAATTTTAAAAAAAAAGTAAAAGAATTAAGAAAAAAACTATCCCCTGCTTCAGAAAGTATATAGATATACAGATTGAATAATTAAAATCAGAAGCCCAAACAACAGTAGACAATGATCGTCGTTTGCCTGGTTCACAAACTACAAGCCGCCACATGAGGTGTTCCCGTTTAATTAATTAATTGGGGTTCGTAAAAAGATCCCCGTACCATATATAACCTATAACATTAAATTAAAATTAAGGTTAAATGTATAGAGTTGGAGACACGAATCCCAATAATTCATTCCTGAGTAGGAGTTGGAAGCAGGCTTTTTCAGATGGGTTTCAGAGAGGCTCTCTACTTTGAGGAGTGATGTATTGTGGGGTTGGCCTTTCAATTTGTGGAGGATTAATCTTGGGTTGTGAATTGTGAAAAAATTGGAAGGCAAAGAGAGAGAGAGAGAGAGAGAAGAAGAAGAATTAGATGCAAAAAAATTGTTCCCGAAACAAGGGACTGTGCATGAGAAGAGATGAGGTGGTCCAAACTTTCCCATCAAATTCTTATTAATTGGTGTATTAAAGTACTCCACCCATCCTCCTCTTACCCTCTATACAAGTCTGGACCACTCACTCCAAATATGCTCCCTCCACGCAAACCTTTGTTTTATGTAAAAAAAAAATTAGGTGTTCTACCAGTTTGTCATCCATCTCAACTGAATTCTTCTGGGTTTTGAAGTTAACAATTAGGTAAGTTTTTTTTTTTAATTAAAGTATTCGATCAGTTTGTACGTACCTCAATTAATTCTTTGAGTCTTAAAGTTAACAATTGGGTAAGCCTCTAGTGGTCGGAGGGTGTTCAGATCAGCTTGCACGTACCTCAATTAATTCCCTAAAACCCTGAAGTTAATAACTGGGTAAGCCTCCAGTTGCCATCTCTATTAGTAGCCGAGATGAATCGAACTAAAGATCTCTTGAGTAATACATCCAAAAGTCTTAATTGATCGTTGGATCACCCAGTGATGGTTACACACACCTTCCTTCCACCCTCTTTATCTTCATTATTATATTTAATTTCCTCATGCAAATTATGAACAATTAATTTGGGAATATTTATGATTAAGAATTTAATTAAAAATTAATCTCAGGAATAAGAATGGTTCTGGAGAGAGTGACGTAGACGAAAGAAAGATGAGAGTGAGAAATGGGGAAATCCCATACAGCTTTAAATTTTTGTCCGCTAAAAGCAGGTGGTCCTATAACGAGCTTTCTACGCCGCTTGCCAATTTTTCTCCTATTCTAGTTTTACACTTACTCCATTGCTGACATCACCGATATTTTTTGTGCCTTCTCAGACCTTGTACTTTTTCTGTATTCATAAGAACACTACACTACGCACTAGTGTTCTGAAAATTGGACCGGATCATTCAATCAGACCGGTTCGATCAGGAGCCAGCGTCATCTCCAATCCAGTGTCTTCTAAAAACCAGTATTTTTAATCAAACCGGATAAGACATGATTGGGCTGTTGGAATAGTATCGAATCACGGTCCAATCGTGACTCAATCCCGTTGGATTCCGGTATCGTTCGAGGGAGATAAGACTACCATAAGACTTGACAACATCTCTAAGACAAAACCCATCCATTTTCAGTGGCCGCCATCCAGCCTTTTGTCGCTCGCCGTCCACAAATCATTCACGCAAATGTCGACCTTATTTCTTGATTTCGGCAAATTTCGATGCCATTATAACTCCCTGAAATTCGCCTGAACCTCTACATCAAAAGCCCCATCATTCCAAACTTCGATTGGTCGTCTATCGTTGTCCACCATTGTTCACGCAACTGTCGACCTTCCTTCTTGATTCCGAAAAATTCCGGCGCCGGTAGAACTCCTTGCACCACCATAAGATTCACTAGCACCTATACATCAAAAGCCCCATGATTCCAAACTTCGATTGGTCGTCGATCGTCGCTGCTGCCACCACTCACCAGTCTCTTCGAGTGACATGGGTGTTTTGGATAGATTTCAAACGTTAAGGGAGTCATGCGTAATTATTTAGGGTTGTTTTTTATGAATTTCAAACATTTAGGGACTAAAAGATAATTTTATAGAATACGGTTATGACTGATCCAACCGGTCAAACTGGAAACCGGACCCTTGAATGGGTCAAGACCCGATCCGGTTTTTGAAACATTGCTACACACCCTACCGCATCTTATACGCAAACTCCCACTTTCACTGGAAACTCCATCGCCCTCACCCTCACGTAACTTTCATCAGATTTTATACGGCCTCAATAAACGGGTGCGTTTTACTTTTACCCACTCACGCCTTATAAAAATTTGAAAATGGAAAATGAAAGGTATAATAGGAGTACAGCTTTTTAGGTGAAGAAGCAGAAAGAGACACCCAGAAAAGACGGGGGTGAGTGTGTAAAAAAGATCACCTGCAGAGGTCTGAATAAGAATGGAATCAGTGTACAATTCTGGGTATGATTTGAAACTTGGAACTATTGCTGGGGCAGTGTTGTTTGTGGGTTTAGGTTTCTTTGTATTAATTGATAGTGTGGTCCATACCATGCTTCAAAACCTTTCAATAATTTTTACAGGACCAATCTACTTACCCATCTAACTATCTATCTATAGTATGAGGGAATCAATGAATGCACTGTATACCTATCTTATTTTTATGCAGCTTTTCTGAAAACCTGGAATCAAGAGAAATCAACCCACAGTTCTTCTTCTTTTTTTAATACACAAATCCCAAAGTTTGAAAGTGATGAACAGAAAGAAGAAGATGATTATATCAAAATATGTATAATTAATAGGGGATTAACAAAGGGGGTTTTAAAGGAAAGGTCGTTTCATTTAATTTGTCATAGAGTTTTGTTATTGAACATATATATATATATATATATATGATGCATGATAAATAAGTAGCCCACAACCACAAGGCAGGTCCTGAATCAGTAGAGGACATCAGTAAAGTAAGCTATTGGGACCTCTGCCATATTCTTTAATGTACTATATCTAATATATATTTTTGCAGTGATAAAGTACTACAACCGTCCACGACAAATCCCCTTCTGTCTTCTAATAACTTCACTAAATTACAGAGGGAGGACCTCTCTATTCCTTCACATACATATTGCTCTTACGTACATTTATATGTAGAATCAAATATGTTATTTTCGTGTAAGTTTCCTCCAGACATCACCGTAAAGCATAAACCCAATTTAATGAAAACGTTCTTCCTTTGGAAACCCTAGCAAAAAATTAGGGTTTTGTTCATCTGGTACAAGTGGTGAGTCTGTGAGGTTGAAGTATGAAAATTTGATGGTTTGATGAGTGAGAATAATAGTATTTGGTTTTCTTCTTTAATCCAAAATTTGTGGGACAGATAGCAACTTGGCATTAGTGTGGTACAATATTATACAACAAAAAGACCACCCACATGGAAAATTTTGTGATGGTGGGGCAATTGGGTATGAATTATATAGTCCAAAGTGAGTTAAATATAAGGCTTTTTGTTTTCATTGCCGTTAAAATATGAACACATCAAAATCTTCACCCATTTTTGTGCTTGAATGGACTGTCAAGATCTGGTTGATGGTTGTAACCCTATATATCTAACAAGTCATCCATCAAACCAACGGTCTTGATCAATTTGTTAAGTAGCAAAAGTATCACGTATACCCAACAAGTTGAGGGCAGTTAAGAGACAAAAAGGAACTCAGGTTCTTCTTCTTTAAAAATATGTAATTGAAAGTGAAAGAAGAGATTTTGATATCCTAAAAACCCAGAACTGTTTTTCTGTTATGTAATTTGGGTAAAGCTTATTACCATCTTCAGTAGTGATTCTAAACTTGTTTTCCTTTTATTATCTAAACGATCATATGCTACCATGTGAGCTTTTATCTAATTTTCTTTGGCATTTTTATTCAACAACTTATGCTTCATATTTATCTTACTATATATACATTACTTGGAGATTGAATTGGATAAAAAGAAAAAAAAATGAAAAGGACATTTAATATAATTTACAGTATTCCTTATAATATCATCTCTTTTAACCCTAGTTTTACTTTTTATATTGGCATATATGAGACTAATTTAAGTAGTCCAGCGTTGACACCAATGAGATGATATAATTATTTATATTCACATGACAGTGATCATATTCATAATCCTGTTATTAAATTTGGTAATTAAGGAACTGCTGATTTGGTCACATGATCACGTGATTGGTTCGTCATTTTAATATGTTTTTCTAGGAAGAAAAATTGAATATAGTGAGGTCAAAGTGTTGATAATGCAGAAGAATATGTAGGGTTTATTTTGTCGAATCCCGTTGTTAGGTTTGAAAGGTTTTGGCAGCAGGCTTTTAATCCTTCTGATTAAAAAAATAATATTTATAATTAAATATTAAGAAGAGAAAGTTAGAAATGTTTAGGGTGGGTGGAATATATGTCCTTTTGTTTTAAGAGATTTGATCATCTGAGTCAGTACTTTTGTATTTTGTATTGTAACAGTATTAGGAAAACCCGGCATCAGTTCATACTATCATTTTCGAAAACCAGTCTAATAATTCCTTGCTACCTTTGTTTGTTCACAAGTCAATTGTATGGATGACACAGTGCCTTTCAAA